GATTCATTTCCCCTCAATATAATTTTCAGTAGAAAAAAAGACTCATTCATTCTTTATTCCAGTACCAGGAATACTGAAGCTGCTGATCCTTTTGGGGTCCTACTTTTTAATCTAAATCACCTTGGAACAGCCTACTTCCGACCTCAAGTGCCACTGAGGTCCCTTGCCTGTTTCCTAGTGCTAGCTTACTCCTCCCCTTCTTCCTCAATCTAACGTCTCCTTACATCTGCAGGAGATGAGGTATTAAAAGATTAGTCTGAATTGGTGGTAGTAGAAGCTAGAGTGCAACTTGGACTTTCTGATTCCTGGTGCAGCATATGCCTTCCTAGAGTGTCAATAAGCACAGGAAATTGTGATGAAAAAAAGAGGAAGTGAGAAGAGGAGCTAAGATGAAAAGGCAAAAACTGAGCCCTTACAGACTGTTATTTATTCATTGGTTAATTTTTTAAATCTTTGTGATGGAGGTTGTACCATTTTTTGTACCCAGAAAAGTCATTATAGTGACTAGCCAGAATAGTAGAACAGAATGCAACTTCAAACTGTGACCTATAAATGTGTCCCATTAGCCCTTTAAGCCCGTCCAGCTGGCATTCTAAGAAGGGAAACAATATATATGTACCTGAACAGGTACATACACACGAATGATGAGAATATGAAACTACTTAGAAAAAGTGTGGGCTTTTACAAAAAGAAGTTGTAAAACTTCTAAGCAAGTGTAATTAAAGGAAAATTTTAGTTTACATATATGTATGTCTGAAAAATGAAAGAAACGGAATAATGAATTTTCTCAAACAGGTTTTATAATAGGATTGTTCACTTATGCTCCTGGAAAATCAGAGCTCAGATCAGGACATAATCAGTGCACGCTTGGTAGCTGAGCACCAATATAGTAGCAAAAAGACCTAATGTTTTGATTCCATAATAACAAGTGTACTGTTTTACGTGTTTCCTGAAAGTCTGTTCCCATTAACTTTGGGGATCAATAGAGCTAAAAGAAGGTTAATACATAATCAGTCGTGGGTAATATGCGTAACAAAATAGAGTTGTGATATATATAAAACTATGACTAATATACAAATAGGGAAAATAAAACGGACATCAGGAATTCTTTAATAATTTGTCGTTTGTATGCAGTAGTCCTTTAGTTCCTCATGGTAGATGCAACCCTTTTGATCATATCTTTGAAAGCCTGTATCACTTGCTTGTTCCTAAGAGTATAAATGAAGGGATTCATTACCGGGGCAACCGAGGTGGTCAACACGGACACGACCTTACTAACAGCTACCCCTTCTTTTGCAGATGGCTTAATATAGATGAAGATGCAGCTTCCATAAGTAATAGAAACCACAATGATATGAGAAGAACAAGTGGAGAAAGCCTTTTTCCTTTGCTGGGCAGAAGGGAACCTGAGAATGGTCCTGATGATGTACGCGTAGGACATAATCACACACACCAAGGTGAAAGTGAGGGTCAGCACAGCCAGGACCAAGACAAACCGCTCTATCAACTCCGTGTCTGAGCAGGAAATCTTCAGGATGGGACCAGCATCACAGCCAAAGTGATCTATGACATTGGAGTCACAAAACTCGAGCTCAAAGCCCATGCCAAACGGTGGGAGGACAATGATTAGAGCAATCATGTAACAGCCAATGAGGAATCTGAGGCAGACTCTGTAGTTCATGACGGTCGTGTAATGCAGGGGCTTGCAGATAGCCACGTAGCGGTCATAGGACATGACGGTGAGGAGGAAAAACTCAGCCACACCCAGGATGATGACGAAAAATAACTGAGTGGCACAAGGATTATAAGTAACTGTATTGTCCCCCGTGGCAAGTGTATAAAGATATCTAGGAATACAGACAGTGGTAAAAGAGACTTCTAAAATGGAGAAATTCCGGAGAAAAAAGTACATTGGAGTTTGAAGGTGGGGATCTACAAAGGTGAGGGTGATGATAGTCAGGTTCCCAATTACGCTCAGCAGATACGTGATGAGCAAAAAGGCAAAAAGCAGAATCTGTAGATTCGGGTCATCTGTCAATCCCACCAGGATGAATGTTGTCAACACTGTGTAATTTTTCATCACTGACCTCTGACTTCTGCATGATCTGTTGGTAAAAATAAGTTAGACATTGGATACGAGGTGGATTCAAATAGATTAAAAGTGGGAGTAGAGTGAGAGTGCCGACAAGCCAATATTATTTTATTTGATAATGCGATTGTGTTGTTGACTCATGTTAGTCCATGATTCAGACAATAGTATGACCAGAAAGCTGGTGTCAAACATTCTTATCAATATATTAATGATAAGTCTATAGTACATATAATCCTAGATTA